CAGGGTTGGTGCCAGCATATGGAGACACCTTAAATCTGGCAGGGGTTTGATGCTGTCTCCTGAGAGGTCTAGAGAGAGTTCAGAACTCTACTGGAGTTGAGGGGAGGCCTTGTAAATGCAAAAAAGACCCTTACTGCTAAGAACCTGATCATTGGAAGACTTCTCTTCTCACACTTTAGTTCAAACATATAAACATCAGAACAAATAAATAAAGCCCAGGCTGACTGCAAGACAGAATTCCATGTGGCAAATAATCCAAGGGCAGCTGCTCTCAGATTCTCAGAGTAGCTTCACAGAGTGTTTCAACTCTTAGGTGCTTTCCTGTTAAAAGCACCCCCCCCACCCCAATTCCTCCAGTTTCCCCAATCCTGGCCTCCTAGGTGCACTGAGAAGCAATGGATGTGCCATCCTTGGCCCTGTCACCTTCCAACACCAAGCACCTGAAAGATCCTGTGCTTCTTCATTCCTCTTGTGGTGGAGGCCTGTATCCTCTAACATGGCTTCCATCCCCAGCTGGGCCTCCTCCCAGGACTTGCCTTTCAGCTGGGCATAGAAGAGGATGTGCTCAGCCACTGTGAGGCTACCAGGACAGAACAAGGAAAGCAATGGGCTCAGCAATTGACTTCTAGTAACTTATTTTTTATAGAAATAATTCAAGATGACCAAAAAAAAAAATGCAGCAATCAAGATGCTACAAGTTCATTAAGGTACTGTTCCTGATACAAATGGAAAACACACACCAGATCTGGCCCAAGTATCTATTAGAGAGCTTGGCTTAATAGTTCATCTTATAATGAAATATTATGTAAACATTGCAAGTTAATTTATAAAGGGACATGTAATGACCTGAAAAGATATTCTTATCTTAGGTTAAAAAAAGCAATCACATTTCTAAAAAAGTCAGGTTACAAAATTACATGCATAGTTTTTTTCTTCTTTATAATTTCAAAGAATGTATATATATCTATGCATGTGTAAGAAAATGTTTTGAAAAATTAACCATAGTTGTCTCTGCATGGTGAAATTACTGATAATTTTTATCTTCTTCTATTTGTTTAGCTGTCTTTTGTTACTTCTTCCCTCCCTTTCTTTCATATGACTATATCTAAATATATACTTTTTTATATGCTTTCACATGATATCTAACAATATATAGATTTTTAGATAAGAAATAAAATATATTTTAATTGAAAAAAATAAAAAAAGAGTGTTCCAAATGTTCTGAAAGTCATTCCTTAATGCCCTGGTTTAGAAGAAGAAAAGGAACCAGGTTCTCCTCTCTTTGGTCCCCGATGGGAAATACTTCAGGGCTGAGCAGGGGGCCCAGCCACTGTCATAAAGAAAAGAGTGTCACTCTTCTGAGGGGAGAGACTTCAACTCTGAACACCAAAGGCACAGTCCCATGTTCAGAGGGACAATTCTCAGTGCAAGCCAGACAAGAACCTTGAACAAAGGGGACACCAGCTAAGAGTATCGCCACATGTACCCAGACCAGGCACCCTGGGCGAGACTCTAGAGAACATATGTGCTGGGGTGGGGTGAGGATGGGAGATGGAGGCATCTCACCCCTGTTTTTCTTACTGGTGGAACAGGATGTTGTGCTGTGGACACATGCCGAGGCTCTGACGGATTGCATCCAGGCTTGTTTCAATGTCCTTTCCCGCAATGAGCACAGTCCCTGATGTCGCCGGCAATAGACCTGTCAAGATGGACCTGCAGAATGCAGGAGCAGGGGTGGAAGAGATGGTCCTTAGGAACTTGCATTGGGAGAGCAGCCCCCCACCAGTGTGAGGGGTCCTCAACAGGGTGAGGACTCTCACGGTGACTCCTGCTCATGTCTCTGAATCAAACTCAGGTTCATCATTAGCAGCAGGGCCCAAAGTTTCCCATACAGAGACTAGCACCAGTGTGTACATTAAGGCCCTAATGCAGAGGAACAGAGAACAAAGGCAAATGTGGCCCTCTGCTTCCCCTTATCCCCTGGGGCTCCCGGGCAAGCACTAGTGAACTTCGGGGATTCTCAGCCTCAGAACATTTACTTGCAGGCCTTGAGCTCCCCCACCTCCAATTCAGCCCTCAGTCCCTGGTGCCAGAGGAGCTCAACAAAAGGTTTTTGGTGCATGGTTTGCTGCTCTGTGTTCTGGGTGAGCAGTTGCTGATTTCGACAAGCTAGGTGTCACCAATACAAGACCAGGAAGGCCTTAATGAGGTGAGAAGCTGGCACATCTAGGCATTCACTGTACCAGTTGATCAACTGACTGAAGCCAGATCACCACCCAAAATACCATCGTTGGATCCAAAACACAAAAAGTCTAATAGCAATGATGCGCGTTTTTTTGTAAAGTGGGAAATAATGGGCCCCATGTGCTGAGGTGGTATGTGCATTAGAGTTAATACATTTGATGCATTTAGCACAGCACCAGCATTAAGAAAAACTCAAAAATATCATTACCATTGTTACTAAACACTGTTTCAACCCCAGGGGAAGCTGTATTTCTGCAGCTGATGAAATAATGTGTTTTCCTGGGAGAAGTTCTGGGGTTCCGCCTGAATGAAATGTCCAGCTCTCTGGCCATATTAATTAATAAGAAAAGAAATCAGATTATTTAGTGCCGCCACACCCAGCTCTGTTCCTGAGTTCTGATAAAATCTCAGGCTATCTGAATTTACACTTAGAAGCTGGAATCTCTTTCGTTCAAAAGAGGAAAATAGAACCAAATATAATGGCACCAGCCCCACATTCCATTCACACACCCTGTGTAGGGTGTACACTTGCTATTCCTTCCTAGGCCTCTGTAAGAAGCCAAGGATTTAAGACTGCATATCACATGGGCTGTTGTCCTGAGAGGTCTGCATAGGAAAGCTTGGTGGCCGTTTTCTCCTCAGCAGATGGCACTTGGGCCCCTTAGAGAAGTGTGAGGTCCATGCACAGCCCTGTGTCTTGCCTGGATTTGGCCTTCAGTTGCCAGGCTGCTAGCCCAGGTCCATGTAGAGACTGTGTCCTTTGTACTTTCTCTAGAACTGGGACCAGCATTTATTGGGGGCCCCATGCTGATATTGAAACCTACCTAATAACTGGCAGGAAAAGGAATGATCTTTATAAAAAAGTCTTGTTCTATAGACCCGGGGCACGGGATGGCGAGGGCCATGACACTATCACTCTCATGGATGATAATGATGCTGGAGAGACTGGGGAGGGGGGAGAGGACTCAAGGCTCTAGAAGCAAGAGGTGGTTTGTGGCAGGAGGGCCTGGCTCATGTCACCATGTAACCATTATACTCAGTGGCTTCAGGAAAGTCCCCTAAACTCTTAGAATGTCCAGTTCCCTGGCACACAAAGCAAGCACTAAACTAACTCCGTTTCCCTCTTGTTGCTTCTTAGGAAGATCAAATTAAAACCAAAATGTGAGTGAGCTTTAACTATTGAAATATCCTTTACAAATTCTCAGGACCAGAAATATAAAGTGAATTTTGTCAGTAAAACTCAGTGAGAAAGAGTAGATTTCAGCTAACGGGGAAAAAAAAAAGGCCAAAAACTGGCAGGGTGGTGTGGCCTCTGACAGAAAACTCACAAGGTGGTGGTTTTCCCTGCTCCATTGTGACCTAGGAAGGCGGTGATCTGGTTCTCATAGAAGGTGATGTTTAGACGGTCCACTGCTGGTCGGGTTCCAGGCTCAAAGATCTTTACCAGATTCTTCACACATACCCCAGGAACCAGCCCTGGAAGCTCACGTTCAAAGAAGGAGTCTTGAGGAAAACAAACAAACATGATATAAACCCAGTGCCTTAACATACACGCTCCTCACGGTTCTTTCTTCAGATCACTGTCTTCTGCCTATAATTTCCCTGCCCTATCCCAACCCCGTCCTTGCTTCAGCTATGACCTTTGTAAGGAAAAGCAGAATAACAATGAGATAATAGTATTGAACATTTATTTAGCACTCATTCTGTGCCAGGCACTGTTTCAAGTCCTTTCCATGAATTACTTCCTTTCACACTTATAACAGCCAGCCCCTCCTGTTAGATATTACTAGGTTCATTTCTATAAGGCTCATTTCTATAGATGAGAAAACCCAAGACAGACATCAAAGTGTCCTATCAAGGTCACAGGGCTCACAAGTGGCAGAGCTGGGATTTGAACACAGAGCCCATGTTCATCCTAGGGCATCCATTGTCCATGCATAAAATTAGCCCTAAGCTCTGTCTTTAGTCCCAGACCCTTGTTTCCAGTGGTCTGTGGGATTCCTCATGGATTTCTGGTAGCAGCTCAGACTCCTCATATTCTTCCCCAGACAATAGTTTCCTTCAGACTTCCATGTCCATTCCTGGAGGCACCATTATCCCAGACAACCTTGGCTTGAGTCTTTGAGTCTACTTTGACCACATCTGACTTCTTGCTCCTTGGAACTCCAGGATGGGCCACTCTTCCTCAGCACTGTCCCTCAAGCCTTGTCCTCCTTTCTATCATCTCCAATGTAGACTTATCATGCTTTGCCCTTGTCCCTACCCTCAGCCTCATTCTTCTTGGTTGGTGCAGGGTGCTTAACTCTATATAGCACAGTTCACTGGTTGTCTGAATATTGTAGGTCTAGGCATTTGCTCCCTGCAAAATTAAAAACAACAACAACAAACCCTTGCTTCTTCTCTCTGTGCCTCCTGGCATGGCCCATAGGTGAGTTGGAACCAGTCTCCAGTCTCCCCAGCCCCCAGTCTCAGCCTTGTCATATACTCTGGGATGAGGGTCTTCCAGAGGCACTGTTGCCTGCAAAACAGCTCTGTGGGGGGAGTTGCTGGTTTCTGACTTTAGCTTTGTGAAATGGCATCTGGGGTATGTGGAGGCTGGATCTTCTCTAGCAATGTCAGGCCAAGTCAGAGGCTGTGTTCCTGTTTAAGCTCTAACATCCCCAGAGAAATGCACATGCTTAGGGTTGAAAATCCTTGGGAGAAACACAGAATTGATTCAGAGGGAAGATAGAGCAGCCAGAGCCAGGGACACAGACTAATGAACCTGGCCCTTTAGTCCAGAAAAGATTAGGTAACTTCCACTGTCAGGAAAGGCTTTTGATTGTTTGAATGAATGGGCTTCTAGATTTGTAAATCATGAAGTGCAGTCAGCTCTGCTAGACTCTTTCCCCTTCACACAGAAGCATTTATTTTTGTCTTTCTTTATTGCTCATGTCTGCTTAAAGTCCCAGTGACCCAAGTCATTGTTCTTGCTAAATCCTCAGAAGTCAGCATATTCATGCAACTCACTTGAGATCTGCCTAACAAGGGCACAAACATACTACAAACTCGGGATTTGCTTTCTCCAGGAAATATGCATTAATGTCTGGGCTGAACAATTCATTCCCCATACATGCACCTGGACATGAGGTTCAATAGTGGTCAACAGAGGGAGCTGTTTTGCTCTGGCTTTTACAGGGGTTCACAGCCTTTCACTTGCTTCTGCTCTTTATTAGGGTTTTACCATTCTTTCCTCCTGGGTGGTCTGGATCCTCCATTTCCTCTGTTATGGGTTCAGTCTTTTCCAGGGCCCTCTCTTCTCTGGTTGAACACCCTGCACCAACCAGAAGCCAGTGTTACTCTCCCAGTGAGAGCTGAGAATCAGCAGGGACAGGAAAGGAAGGGAGATGTAGGGGGAGCAAGTGAGTTTTCCACCACAACAGGAAAACAGTCCCCTTAGGAGGCTGAGCCAGTGCCCCTGTGAGACCAGCCCCTGCAGGCCCCCTGGTCTGTCCTACTGAAGAGCTCCAGCCTCAGCGTGCAATCTCTGCCAAGCCCAGGGGCATTTTGGAATTGGAGTTTCAGAATTAGAGTTTCACCTCATCCTCTTGCTTTTTCTTTTTCAGTGGTGCTGAGGATGGAACCTGGGGCCTCAAGCATGCTAGGCAATTGCTCTACTGCTACCCTGCCTCCCTCATCCTTTTAGTGTGCCAGGGAGGGCCTACAATGCCAGAAATGGATTTAAAAACAAAAACCAAATCCAAGATTGAATTTGGAATGGGTTAAATTTCTTTAGCCCACCACTGGTTGTTTTCATTACAATCCAATTGATATCAGATGAACCTCTGGTAAAAGTCCATTCAAGGTGACAAGATGGGCGGCCAGCTTAAATTGAGAAACATCTCCTCTGAGAAATCCACCATAAGGGAATTCTAGTGTCTTAGGGTTAATGGCTAATGGTAGGGATGTAAACCTGGACAAATTGTGACATGTGGTATACACAACACACACACACACACACATGCTTTTTCGGTGCCCAACGTAGGGCATTTGTAAATTTGGCATTTGTTCTCAAAGGGCATCACGAAATCCTGGAAGGGGAAGACAAGCAGAAAAGCTGGGCAAATTGAGAGGAAGCAGGAGAAGAGAAAGCCACTGCTGCCAGACCTCAGGACCCTGGCCTCAAGTGCAGATGGATGATGGTTTTCTAAATGCAGCAGCCACCAGGGCCCTGGCACAACCCCTCTGTAGATTTGGAGGGGCAGGCAGGTGTGGGAGACTATACTTGCACGTGACTGGGTCACACTCCCTGGCTAGGTGCTGAGGTGCTCAGTCGCAGAAATGTGGCAGAGTTTTCCCCACTCTTCTTGGGTGGGGGTCTTGTGCATGGGTGTGTCTTGCTACAGCCCCATGGGTGAAGCTATGCTCACTTGTTCCTTTGTAATATAACCCCTTGCTGTTTATGATAGAATCTTCCATGAAAGTGCCTTATGTGTGTCTCCTTCTCTTACTGTTCCCTTGGGTGTGGCCTACCCAGGTGTCAGTCAACCTGCTGACAGTAGACATCATGAAGATAGACTCAGCCCCCTGAAACCTGACCCCTTGCTTCATTTAAATAGCTTCTCCTCAATAAAAGGGATCAACACATGCTCTCGCTTTCTCTCTTCCTGCAGACCATTAAGGTCATAGGAGCCGTCACAGCAACCCCAAACAAAAAGGTATTTGTGTCTCTTGTGTGGTTATTTTGCGCAGCCCAGTTAGCCCAGTTTTACTGGAGTGACCCCTGAGCCTTTTAGTCTCAAGAAAAGAAACCTGTCAATTGGTGCCCAATGTGGGGCGTGGGGTGAAAGGTCTGTGTCGTTAAGCTAATTGTTTTTCTGCAACAGAAAACCCATCATTTATGTTTTATACGTACATTTATCAGGTACTCTGCCTTTTAGAACAGATATTTAAGATAAATGTGTTTGCTCTAAATTTGCTTTTAAGTAAAAATACAATCTTCAAGTAGTTTATAATTCTCAAATTTATTGTACAAACTCATAAAATGATAAACAAATATAATTCTGTCTACAAAATATCTAAGGATTTTAACTTAAATATTTTCTTATCAAAGTACAATAATTTATTTATAGATTCTAAGGTTTTCAAAAATTGTTTCGAAGTATAACCAGAAAAAATTCTAAAATAAAAAGATGCTTCAACAAAAAGAAAACACACATTGGATCCTAAAAAGAAGAAAAAAAAAATCTTTGGATAAAACAAGGTCTTTATATGCTAGATTTTAATGATAAAAGTATTTTCCTAAATAAGCAGATTTTTATATCATTATCTGAACAGATGATGTAAAAAGTTAGAACAATTAAAAAAGAGATTTATATATATCAGATAGACTATAAATTTTTAACTGATTAATTCAAGGATATTTCAGGCTATTTTCCTAATTTAACTATACTGATGTGAGCTAAGATTTTGTCCATATTTTGACATGATAAAGCTTTTTTAAATTTTTAGTTTTTTTTTTTTAAAAAAGGTCTTTATTGCCTAATAATTCTTGCTGTTTAAGACAAAGGTTAATTTTGGTAAATAAATTCACATCATTGATTAAACACTAAATATATTAAACTGCTAACTTAGATCCCAATTTTGACAACTGTTCTTTAAGATTATACTTAATTGATTCTAAGACACAAAGACACTGTTGATTTTTACATATTTTGTTAGATAATTATAAAATTTAAAAAAACATTTTATTAAGACTCAATTTCTTCAAAAGTCATGTTAATTTTGACCAATAAAGTTTACAAAGTTTAAAAATTCATTAATATTATGTAAGTTCTCTGACTAAACCTATTATCTATAAAAATATAGTAAGATTTATGTACTACTCCCTACCTAAAATATAACTACTCCCTACCCTAAAAATAACCTTAATCATATTTTTAAAGGCAATTAAGAGATACCTATTTAAAGGATAATATTCTAAAACATACAGATATTTTAAAACCTTCTCTCAAAAAGAGATTGGGGGTTCTTTCTAAAGTGTTAGGAAGGATCAACTAGTCTATATTGGGAAATTATAATAATAAGAAAAAGATAAATCTATTCTTCTCATTTAAATACTTGTACTATTTATTATCTATAACTTAAACTAAGGATACTATGACTCATGCCAAGCCTTTATTCAATTTTATTAAATAAACAAAAGGGGGAATACAGGACCCCAGAGACGCACACTAGATTTTACAAATACTTTAAAGTTTTTTCTTAAATGGTAATATTGAGAGTCTCAATTTTACCTAACATGACTCAGTGAATTATATCAGATATCAAAGGAAAGTTTAAACCAGTCATCATGATAATGACTGAGAAACCTGGCTCAGGAAGGTAAATTGCCAGCTGTAGAGTTTACAACCATGCAGCTTCATGAGCTTGTCAGGTAAGTAAAAATTATGAAAAGACTTGTATGGACCCATTTCCCAGGTCCACCTTTAATGTGTCTTGCAGTGTGGACTGGAAAGTCCACCCATAAAACTAGATTAATTGTCCTGACTGTAATGGTCAGTTATACCTATATATTGATTCTGTGGTAAACAGACTGACTGGAAGTGTCTTTTGAGAAAATGACAGTGTTGAAATAAAGGATTGTTCCACATCCACATGGATGGTGGCTATGGACCAGATGTAAGTAACACCAACTAAGGGCCAGTTATCTATGAG